AGAAAAAAGAAAAACAATAAAAATAAAAGGAAGGAAACATTGTTTCGTTCGACAGGAGATCTCGTCTCTGCTATCGTGACACCGGAATGTATCGGATCTCTTTCGAGGAGAAGCGATTCGTGCCCATGGTGGATTTCACAAAAGAAACGCAAACGTTTATTTTTTCATACAAGGAGAACATGCTCAAAATACACAGACATATACACTACCTGTAGCACCAGTTTTATATTTAATTTTTTAATCTAACGTAATAGAAAGATGAATGGATCTGTGGGGGGGAGATGAGAACAGTGATGAAAAGCCGCGAGTATTTTCGTGGCAGAGCGGAAATCGAGATAGAACTCTTGCATATTCGCGCAAAAAAAAAAACAAAAACGGTGTTTAACATTGCGGGTTAATTACCCTCGTATTTGCACACGGTGCTGCTGTTTTCGTTTAGCGTGCTCGCATTCGCATCAGTCGATCGTTCGCCTTCGAAACGTCACGGGAACACAAATTGAAATACTTGGATATTCAAACGCGGTGTCTCCTTTCAAATCCATGGACTATCGTTTCATCTTGTGTGTTACGACTTAAAAAGAACGAAAGTTGATCAGAGCTGAGAAGAGAGCTTCGCAAGCAAGTTTCGATCCTCTGATTGGGCCGTGTTCTTTCCTTCTTTTCGAGTAATCGTTTCGTTCGACGACAACGATCAGAGGATTGACCTTACTTGGAAAAGCCTCTTAATAACTCGCTGATCGAGCTTCTTCCCTTCTTATGCACAAAGTAACGTAGTTTCAATGGAACGTCGCGCTCGAATATCCAAATATTAGTAATATACATGATAATTACTTCGAAATAATTGAATAATTCCGGGGCTGGGCTTTGGAACGGTGCGCAAACATTGATATATACATCGATATGACAGGATTGCGTAGAGAAAGAATGAAACAGAGGAAACGTATACGCGAACTATAATAGACCGGATAAGTTGCATCGAAGGAACGCAATGTAAATGAATTGATATTTGCGCGTATGCGTAAACGAATGTATAATATGAAAAAAAAAAGCAAGAAGAATAACAGAAAGATGTATGTACCCTTTTGTTGACGCTTGTTTAATTAGTTTTGTTGATTTAGGGACTTCTTTCGCGAAAATGAAACGAAAACGAGAGAAAGAGGGAGAGAATGGTTGGATAGAGAGATAAGAGAGGAAATCGTCGAGATTCTCCTGTGTGATATCAGGGATTTGCGGGGTGCTAGCGCTGTTATTTTTTTGGATGGGTGAAGAAAGCGAGACGCAGATAGGGGAAGAAAGAATGATTCGACTCGAGGAAGGAGAATGCAAGTGAGCCATACATGCAGAATCGAGGAAACGAAAAAAGAAAAAAAAAAAAAAAAAACACGGAGCCTTGAATAGTGAACTATAAAGAAGAAACGAAAAAAAAAAGAAGAAAGGATGTGATTATTTATAATAAATTTCCTAGGACAACTTATAAGTACTGCCTTAAGCATTTTAATTTCGCGAACCATCAGAATGTGTCGGTGATCTCGCGACTGGCTCTGAATATGTGGGAAAAAATGCGGAAGGGATTAAGATGGATGAGATTTATATTACCTGTTCGCGCGATCGACCGATCACAGTCGTTCTATCTCGAGGATCGAAGATACACTTTTCACGGGCATTTCCACGTAGAAATACGCAAATTCCATATGCGAGAATCTAAAGTTGTTTGTTCAGTTGAGTCGATCCGTTTGTTCGTTTCATAGTTCGTGGCCATGTAGTTATTCCTTCACGTTCGTTATATTTATAAATATAAATTCAGATACACTGGCCCATGGAAATATTTGAACACTTTTGTTCATTGTATTATGCATTTTATACAAAAACATTTCGAAATTTCATCGGCATTGTAACAAAAGAAGACTGTTATTATTGTATCGATATAAACCTGAAATTAATTTGAAGTTTCATGTATTTATTACGAATATACGTAAAATTAGTATACATGAATAGTAAGAGTTCCACCGAGTACTGTTTGTTTATTAATGTAATGGATAATTTGAATACTCTGTTTTCTAGTCTCAGATTTGTTTTATATCTACGATAAACTTAAAGATACAAAAAAACGCACAGATTCTGTTTCTTTAGTTGCGTCTATGAAATACCAATTTGTTACAGTGCTAATGAAATTTCCAAGTGTACCGCACATAGTATAATATATTCGTAGATTTCTACAAGTGTTCAAATACTTTAATGAGTTGCTGTATTTTAATAATTAAATGGCCGTAAAATGTAATTCTATCGTTTGCCTTCTATAAATGTGTATGAACGAACTGATCGACCAACATTGTACTTACTGTATTAAGATAACCAGTTCTGGCTGTTCGATCGATTTTAACGAAACAGTTATGGGAATGAAAAAGTCTTGGGAAATTTTAACGAGAAACAGCGAGGATTGGTGTATTTTAATTCAGTAAATAGTGAAATTCAATGTCGTAAACTATGAAGTCGCGCGAAGACAATTTATAACGTCATTGTAACGGGTAACGTGGACTTCGCCTGCCCTTTGTTACAGAATAGTTGAAATAATTTTATCGCGACTGTTGTTAACAGAGAGAGAAAACGATAGAATGACCGAGTAAGCGAAAGAGTGCGCGAAAGAGAGTTGCAACGTGGCGAATAATGAATTAATATAATAAAATAACAATGAAAACCATACAGTTGAACACACGATACTTTGTGACATTTCTTGTTTCATTTCTCATTACTATACGATAGTTTCAACGAAACTCGCAATACTTGTGCCCGATTTCTGTCGAATGAATGATAAAAAAAAAAAAAAACAAAAGAGAGAGAGAGTGTGTGAGAGAAAGGGAAAACTGTCTTTAGCAAATAGTAGTTATACATTATTACGCTAATATACGCGAGAGATATATTACAAGATATATTTTCGAGACTGTACATAGGTATTGCACTTTTCATTGTTACACGGAAAGGTATTTCAGTTCGGTTCACGTGAATTCATAATAGGCGCTTCAATTGTTAACTCGTTGCGATGGAAATTAACAAAGGAAGATAACGACTTAATCCTCTGGAGTCCCTCTTAATTGCCTGTAGAAAAGAACAAAGAATTCTCATTGCAAGTCTCATTGCGTAGAAAGACATTATCAGACTGCAGAGGATTAAATTTCAATGATTTTCAAACGACGAAGAATCTTTTTATTAACTATCACGATTAACAAACGTTACGTTGAAACGTTCATACGACGATGATGAGGGGTGGGAGGGAGGGCAACATCATATTTTATGCAAAAGAGCTTGGTCAAAGCAGGTCTTCCGGCCTTATTGTACTCTCCTCGCTGGAAACAAATATATTTCGGGGGATGAAACTATCACTGAACTTCCCTTCTATGATCATACGAAGGGTCGCGGACATACTTTTCGCAATACTTGAGCCCATGGCTTCCCTCGTTGCTGTACGAGCTGTACATGGGACTCTCCAATAAGGATGCCCTGAACCTCGGTAGGAAATATATCCAGACCTTTGTCAAGGTGCTGATCTGAGAACAAGTTTGATAATAAATTGATCAGATTAATTTAATAACAATGTGCGTGTATTGATTGAAGCAGCATACTCTAGCACTTTAGCCTTTTGTGTTTTTAAATTCGTAGGAATTCATTTCTTTCAATTTGCTTTATCTGCAGAGGTTTCTTTTTATTAGAGATCTTTTTATCTATTTGTTACTTCTTGTCAGAGGAAGTAACAAATAGCCGATGAAATATTATTAAAAAAAGAAGAATACCGCTTCAAAGTTATCGCTCGCTTTGGCCTTGGCCTCCGGAGTAATCAGCACATTTTCTTCTGATCGTTCGTAAAACGTTGGATGTTCTTCCAGTTCGTCCAACTTCTTTAACATTTGCGTATCGACATCGTATACTTCGCCAAATATGTGCTGTTTAAGAAAGCAAACGCAAAAGGTGAGTAATTTAACTTCGAATCACATCATTCGAAATAACTTGCAAGCTTAATTCAAACATCAAACGTTAAAAACCACCGTGTTAATTTTCAATTAAATTTAAAGCAAATTCTCAGGTTAGCGGCAACGTTAATGTTTGGATTATAAAATACCAGCTCGAAATGCCAAACTCAATTCAACGAATGAATTTGGTAACTCACAGGTGATTTAGTGTAAATTAATAATTTAAATTACAAATAAGAATGTTCTCTAATAGGAAACTACGTGCGACAATGAACAATGGATAATTTCGCCATCTACGAACAATTCGATGAAACTAGTTGGACAGTGATATTATCTTAATCGATAACGTTAAACTCTGCAATACTCACATGACCAAAGCCAGGTTTCTTCAACAAAAATGGAATATTATAATGAGTTGCAATTATTAATGGATATGGAGTAGTAGTTCTTCCGAGTCCCAAGAACTTTGCATACCCATTAGAAGTGTCTTGAATCAAACTGTGATTCGGTTCTCCTCGTTTTAGTGTTCCGTATACGAAGACACGGTGTAGAGGACTCTTGAACAGGTTTTCGTACATTCTGAATTTTAAATCGTGCTCAAATTAAATTAGTAGACTGTCGAGAAGATAACTGTTCATCTCATCTCCTAAATACCAGTTTAGAAGAGAATTTTTTTTATTTTATTTGGAAAATTCAATTCGCTGTCGGTAACGATTTGCAAGAAGTTTCAATGCTTTTCGGAGAGATGGTACTCAGTAACAATTGTCCACTAAGAAGTTAACTTCGCTATCGATAAAAATGTGCGATAAGTTCGAGCACTTTTCAAAGAGATGTCGTCACTAATTAATACTAAAAAAAATTTTGGTTATGGCAAACGTACTTTTCTGCCTCAAAGGGAACAAATTATTCGTTTCAAACCACAGTTCACCACAAATTAATAACTTTGATTTAATAACTTTCGCGGACTAGTTTCGTATATTTATATAAAATTAAAATCACTGATTACAAGAAATATATTAAAAACAAATTACGACGACACACCCGAGTTTCCACATATTTCGACACCAGAGGTCATGCTTGTTTCCCGGATATCGATGCTGCCATCGACTTTACCACATTTCCGGCACTTGTTTGAAAAAGAAAATAAAAAATGTAACTAGAACATTGTATACAACTTTGTAAACAAAATAAATTATTCCATAAAATTATCTACGTTTTCCTTTCACTCGATATGCGTGTAAATAAATTAATATTCATTTGATTTGAACGTTGCGTTATAACAAGCTATAGATCAGTATTAAATTACTCTCGCTGTCAATTTCAAGAATAATATAGAATAGCTAAATAATTCGTGCTGACAATGGTCGTGGAAGTTGAATAATGTTAAATTACGTTCATTTTACCTCGTCAGATAGTAATAATTGTCCGCAATGTTATCAGCCAACTCATAGAACGAGTAGATCTCCATAAACGCGATGTTCGTCAGCACTGCCGCGGCAGCAATGTGAAACAACATTGTCGCAAATTAAACGCGATGAAACTAACGATTGCATCGGACGTAAAGCACGTATAAATAAGCCTTGCCTCTTTATCGCATTGGTGAGGTCAAAAGATAAGGTTAAGATGATAGCTTACCGATCGCAGTCACGCTATTTTATTTTTGCATTGAACGATTAATTTCGCTTGTCTTTTCAGTTTTCGTCAATAAACGTCGAAGAACGCAACGCTTTTATCTTAAAAAGAAAAGAGGTTTGTAATGTAAGACATCGTGATATACCTCGTCTGTGACAATGTTTAGAAATGTTACAGAAATAAAATAATTTAATCATTTTAAATGAATTATTGAAAATATGAAATAATTCGTGGAAATATAAGGGAATTCAATCACTGACTCAATTGTTATAAGTAAATAGTTAAAATTGTTAAATAATATACAAAAATGTCACAGAAATGGATATAATATGACCCCTAAATAAGAATAGAAATAATATATGACCCCATAGGACACGAAAAAGCATAGGATCCGGTCTATCCTAGTTAATCAAGTTTGGAATTCTTTAATTGGTGTGCAAGCTTTTATTACAACTTTCTGGTAATTTGTTCATGAGTTTATACTTTTTCTCCTATGTTTATATGAAGTCTTTCTTTCATTTTGTATGAGTATATATAATTTGATATACACCTGTATAAAATAAATTCCAAAATAAATTCCTCATAATATTCAGAATGTAAAGAAAATCTCTACTTTCTGTTTTTATTTTCAGTTAATTATAAAATAATTAAATAAAAATAATAAATAAAATAATTTAATCATTTTAAATGAATTATTGAAAATATGAAATAATTCGTGGAAATATAAGGGAATTCAATCACTGACTCAATTGTTACAAGTAAATAGTTAAAATTGTTAAATAATATACAAGAATGTCATAGAAATGGATATAATATAAATAAGAATAGAAATAATATATGACCCCATGGGACACGAAAAAGCATAGGATCCGGTCTATCCTAGTTAATCAAGTTTGCAATTCTTTAATTGGTGTGCAAGCTGTTATTACAACTTTCTGGTAATTTGTTCATGAGTTTATACTTTTTCTCCTATGTTTATATGAAGTCTTTCTTTCATTTTGTATGAGTATATATAATTTGATATACACCTGTATAAAATAAATTCTTCATAATATTCAGAATGTAAAGAAAATCTCTACTTCCTCTTTTTATTTTCAGTTAATTATAAAGATAAAACATTCGCAAATTATTCGTCGATATTTTATTAATAATTATGCGAGAGATGAGCTGAAACTACGCCGAAGGATTTCGCTTTCTTGCGAGACGAATCCTCGATAAGCATCGTCTGCCAGACGTTCTCCACTTTGTCTTTGTCTTAAAAGTTCGTCGAATCTATTCCAATCTTTGTTAGCTTGTTTTCTAATGTCTCCACCCTTGAAACATAGGCTCGTAGCAATGAAAGAAATTAATTTTAAGCTCAGTACACTTCATTACCTCGATGAGAATGTACAAAAGACCTTTGTTCCTGTCCCCAAGTAACATATAATTCTGATAATACAGGCAGTTTGCCATTTCTTGTAAAATATCGTTCGTTAAATGATTGACTAAATAGAAAATATGTTATTTCAGATTTCTTACTGCCGGACTGTGGATTTCTGTGTATTTACGTGAAATTTAAATAACAAATATAAATAACATATTAATAAATCGAGAGTGGTATTCACAGCTCAAATCTAAGTATTGAAGTTCTAAATTTCCGATTGCCATCATCTTTCCATTTATTGGGAGGCTCTCTTTCTCATGAGGATGACACATTTCATATTCTAGTATCGTTTTGATCTTCTGTAAATATAATGATTAGCTGAAAATAATTTTAAATAATCTAAGACAGGTATAAAATTAAAGAAACTTTTCGTAAATCATAGTCTCTTGCCTGCATGGATTCCGAATCTTGAATTGCATATTCTTCTACCTTCATTTTGCTTGAGGATTCTTGAAGATCTACAGGTATATTTTATTCTATCAAGTTGCAATAAATGTAATAAATACAGTGGAAACCTCGGATATTTGAACTCACTCATTAAGACAATCGAATAATTTGAATTTTATATGAGAGAATATTTCATATCTAAACATTGAACTATCTTATAAATATTAAAATACTCAGTAAAAATATAAAATATGGATAAAAATATCAACAGGCTGTACTAGTGTTTATAATTTAAAAAAGCTGTACGTACATTTCTTAGATCGTCTTATGAGGTTTTGACGTGTTCGAGATTTCGCATTCTTTCTCAATGATTCCCCGTTTATACTCTTGTCGATTTCCACATTCTTCCTTTTCTCCATCTAGTTTTTATTTTCTTTTAATAATTCGCTATTTTTTTTTTTTTTAATTTTCTTTTACTAATCGAACGAAACTGAATTTTCGATAAATCTCTGATTACCCATTCCTCTATCAATGCTAGTTCAGCGAACTTTCTACGGCGCATTTCAACAATTTCCTCGTGCCTCAAGGTAATTCTAATTTTATGAGTTAAAATTGACGTCAATTAACTTTACATATCCACATATCTATTTACGTAGAATTAATTCGAGCAATTTGTAGTACAATTTAAGTTCCTGTAATATTAAACACGCGCCCTCATCGCATATCCTATTTCCAAGTAAAACCAGACACCTTAAAGATCTGTAAATGTAAAAAGAGACCGTTAAGATAGATCGATGTGTTGAAAAATAAACGGTAGTATTTAAAAAAAATTATTGTTTAATCGCATTAGATTATTTTCCTGTCAAAATAAGAGAAGTCTCATTTTTCTACAGAATATTTTTCAAAAATATTCTAAAGAGTAGTTAAACAGAATAAAATTAACATTGACTAACCTGTTCGTTCGAAGCATTTTTCCTACGTGACCCGCGCCATCCTTCGTTATATGATTGTTAGCCAAGTTTAAAATAATTAATTTAGGATTATCGGGTGGGTCACGGTGTCGTAATTCATGCGCAATTTTCCTCACACCGTCGTCGCTTATTTTACAAAGTCTCAGTGACAAATACTTCAAACTAAGTTCGATTATCTATTAAAGTAAAATCTTACACCCGCGAATTTTACAAATTATTATCACCTTCCTCCAGGTGCGCAGAGCAAATGATAATTTTCCTGCGTGTTTGGATTCATGTCTAAATTTAAATCTTGCACACATCTGATACTCGTTATCATTTCCGCAATTTGCACAATGCCAAATGCATTTATGTTACAATTTGGTAGCCTGTTGAAACATTTGGATCGTTTCTTTATCTATCAGATATCTTTATTATCAGGTTATTTTCAATTTACTTCAACACTGTGACGGTGTTATATTTTTGCATGGTAGAATTCAGTGCGTCTAATAAACAGATGGATATCTCACGGCGTGTAACAAAACGAAAACGAAATCAAATAATATCCGTGTATTTCAGTTGCTGGATTTTCATGCGTAAATATACTTGCGTAAATACACGTGGATTGTATTAATTAGAAAGAAAATTTTATTTTAAATGATACTTATCTTTGCTCTCAACTTTTACTGCGTTCACGAGCTTCTTGTTCGAGTAAATTACATGAATGATCGGAGAGCCATCGTCCTCGGTTCTTAAAATGAAAGTTTATATCCGTTTAGCTATTTAAATAAACTTAAATCAGTGGAAACGGTGGGTATATTTTTTAATTTTTATTTTTACGGAAGTATTTTTATTTTAGAAATAATTACTTTTCGAACGTTGTCAATAACGTGCTAGACGCACGAAGGTCCATAAAGCTCTGCTACTTTCAATAAATTTTTTTCTCAAACAAAAGTTCACTTTTTAATTCTATTATAGAAAAGTGAATTTTAAGGAGACACTTACTACTGTTCTAGGCAAAGGGTGCACGTTGTATTCGTCGGCGTATTTTAGAAATTCGCTCGCGAAACTCTCGTGCAAATTCCTTGCTGTATCGCCTATTAATGTGGCCATTAATATAACCATATTTAATACAGATGAATGTATATCTACCAATCGATGACATTTTGTCTCGAGAAGAAACGATGTATTTGCTCTTCTTATCTACCATGACTCTTTTATTTCACAGAATTCAAAGCACGATTTTTATTCACGAGGTTTATTGACAACTGCTGTCAAAAACTACAATCAATTGAACATCAAAAGCTTATGTCTACAGGGCGTTTATAGTGCAACAAATAAGATACAATCTCAAGTGACAAATTCTATTTCTATCTACAAATTTAAATTCATCCGTGTGGTATTAAAAGAATAGAGCCTAAATAGAGATTTCTTTTATCCTCCAAACATTATAACGAACGTTGTATTTTGAATATTATATATATATATTTTTGCATCTTTTTACGTTTCAATTAAATCAACAATTTCTTAAATAAATACAACATTACTGTTACATTAATGAAATAAAGACAATATCACTCGCTATTAGTCA